AACAAAAAAAAAAAAGAAAAAGAAAAACCACATATAAGGGATGAATGTCGCTCAAACAATCCCCACTAATGATTGTTACACTTGTAAGAGAGCATTATTTAATTATACTCACAATCTGTGAAGAAACCGTCTAGGTAAACAACTGATTGGAGCCATGGAGCAGTAAAAGAAAGTTACTTAAAATGGAAACACAGAAAAAATGGAACAAGAGAATCAACAATTAGCAACTTCCAAATGTACTTTCGCATAATCAATTAAATCACTAAAGTGACATACAATGATGATTTCTTCCAGATGCTTCCCGTGCACGGTGTCACCCAAAACAATCGACATCCCGCCACATTGTGCAGCACGTAGAATTGACGATTCATTCATTAAACATTTCAGTGATTCCCAATACTAGAAAACGATTCTTAGTATCATTTGATGTGTTAAAATAAGAAATAAAAAGTTTATTCTTCTTGACATTTTCGTTTAATTAAATCTTCAAATGTTTCAGAAAATGTTCAGGAAAACAGTATTCTAAATTATGGATACGTAACTCAACTTGCGCTTGACATTTCAATTCATTAAAGGGTGTTGATTTGCTGTATTAATTCAAGAGTATTAATTCAGAAATGTCGCAGTAGAAACGACAAATACTTGACGGATGAAATGAACTGTTAAAGCAAGGTAAAGAGAGAAAAAAACACCATTCACTTATTCAAGAAAGTAAATGAAATATGCAGAACCAAAGTAGACAGAACAAAATCAAACATCTGTCAACGAAAACGAAAATGATCAAAACGTAAGAATCGTCGGGTTATACTGCTCTGTTTTCATAATGCTAGATTATTAATATGATTTATTAAATTACTTTTTGTCTGCCAAGATATCCGGCTACAAGTGTATCCATCATTTTACATGTATCACTGTTTGCCGAACTCGATTCCATCCTCGCTTACCCACGGCGGTTTATGATCAATTTACCTGAAAAAGTAAGTAAAACAAATAAACTGGTCCACGTGTTCTCGTGAGAAAAAAGCTCTTTAAATAAAGCGTATTATATCGAATAACAATTATATGACATGTAAGGATAAGTGACGTGACGTAAAACCACGTACGCAAAGCAATACAATTCATCAAGATTTCATAAGTGAAGTAAGTCTATCCAGTCTAAAGATATTAAAATTCTACGGTTTTAAAAGTGCGCCTTACTTCTGATTTCTTTATTGCAGCGCAATTGTTACAGTGAAATACAAATGAGTTAAATACATATATATAAAGAAGAGGAATGCAGTTCTGGCAGTTGTGGATGAAATTACGGAGGGGTGTTTGTAATAGTGTTCAGTTTGTGGAGATGTTAAAGATTAATAAAGATAAAGAAACAGAGTAGGAATGAAAATAAAGCTAGAAAATTGAGCAGGTTATGGGTTGAAAATGCAAAGTGGTGGTATGAAGGAGGTAAAGTAGTGGTGTTGGAGGAAATAGTATAATGATAAAGATTGAGAAAATATGTTATAGTGTAATACTTCGTAATGATAACAATGATGGAGAGTGATTGAAAGATTGAAAAGAATGTTTTAGATTATCAAGTATCATTTCATCCTTGTTTGTGTCATATATGGTAAAAGATAACTGAGTGATATTTGAATATTTGAGTGAAATTAGCAAATTTTAAACTTTGAATGGGTTTAAAATTTAAAATTTATCCGTGATCAGGAAAGATGTGTTTACACTTTGCTATCTTTTTTTCAGGTAATTCGTATGCGATACTTGTCGGCTATGTCTAATAAACTTCATTATAAATTAGTGGATATTGGTGCTAATTTGAGCCATCCTAGTTTCTGGAATGATTTAAATGAGGTTATTGAACGAGCTAAACAAGCAGGTCATCATTTTATTAATTTACTTTTAAGAAATCGATTTAAATAAAGATAGAAGGATATAATTATGTATCGACGGTTATAGTGTTCTATTATCTTATTATCTGGGAGTAATCAATTAATCAATAGAACTGGTTTAGTGATCGATGAAGGAATATCATAGAAATGTGATAGAGTTCAGTAATTATTTACGAAATGCTTTAATTATGGAAGTTGCGATAACAATTAGAGAACTAGGGTTTGTAATGATAAATTTTAGTAGGTATATGTATTCCTTCAGTAATTCTTTTTTGCTTTATTGCAGGCTTATGCAAAATAATGGTTACGGGAACATCGGTAGAATTGAGCAAGAAAGCTCAAGAACTGGCACGACAATTCCCGAACTTTCTCTTCTTTACAGCTGGTAAAATCAGAAGATTTTGGTTTCTGCAGTTTAGTGAAATATTGTAACTGATTGAACTGTAATTAGAGTTGACGGATTTGTAGTTTGTTTAATTGCATATTATTAAGTTTGATAAGTCGCACGATTGAACCACAAATAGGTTTTCCTTTTTTTTTCAGAGGAAACTGTCTTGAGCTATATAATTACTATTCTCTTAGAATGTCCGGCTTACTAACAAATACTATGTCAAGAATTTTTGGACAGAGTAACCATCGGATGTTAAAGGTGTCCATCCTCACGATGCTAAAGAATTTGATGATAGTACGATGTATGAGCTAAAAAAACTATGCGGTGAACCTGGTTGTGTCGCAGTAGGTGAATGTGGCCTCGATTTTAATCGGAATTTTTCATCACAAGACCAGCAAAGGTTGGTCTTCGAGGAACAGGTGCTTAGAAATGATCTGTCTGTGTCTGTGTGTGTCACTCTCTTTCTCTGTGAATTTAGAATGCATTTTCGAATGTTTAACTGGGTTTTATGTAATCGAATTTCTCTCAGGGCATTTCAATATATATATTTCGCGGCGATGGTGTTGCTACATATGTACCTGAGGATGCCATCCTTTGATGAACCCCTTTTGATCTCGATTTCTGGTGGTCGGCATTTAATCTGTATTGAAATTTAAGTAGATTTAAAAATCCGTAAGTCAATTGACTTCTTTTTTGGAATCGTAGGCAAAAAGAGAGTTCCACTGCAATAATATCGTCCTCAGTATTTGCTTATTACAGCTTCGATTAGCATGTGATTTGAAGAAACCATTATTTATTCACGAAAGGGATGCACATCAAGATATGGTTGCTGCTCTGACCAGGTGATTTGATATATGATATTATTGGCAATGAGTCCCTAAAAGACCTTTATAATTTCATTCTCATGGTTTTCTGTACAATATGGACCAGGAAGCCACATTTATGTCTTTTAAAAATATTTGTCTCAGGTATAAAGAGCATTTGCCTCCAGTGGTTATACATTGTTTCACGGGTAAAGCCGCAGAAGCTGAAACATATATCAAAATGGGCTGCTACATTGGATTAACTGGTTAGCATTTTTCAATTGTTAAGAAATAATGAAGAAAAGCGACTATTTCATCAGTTCGTGACAGCAGATGGGAAATAGAAAAGGCTTGTTGAGGAGAAGTACAGGAAAGCAATGGAAGATTGATGTGATTGTACCTTCATTATCGGAATTAGTACACCATTGGTAATTTGTTAGAGTTGGCAATAAAATCATCACTATACACAATTCGTTTGAAGTTGAACAGTTACTTTACTAATAGGACTCAAAAATAAACAAGTTTTTGGCACTTTGAATTCATTTTTCTTTTTCACAAAATGTCCCTTATGTCAT